TTGTTTTGTGAATATCTTCAGTTTTTAAATGGTGCAAAAGGAGGTAATCGGTTATCACCCTTATCAGTGCTACACTGCATGCCTCCTTTTTAATATGTGCATTGTGAAACATTGCAAAAGATTGCTTCTGCTTGAGGCTCAGGACTCAGGGACAGGTTCATTTCAATTTGATGACTGATGGCTGGTAACTGCCAGTTGGGAAAAGGCTGCATTTATGCTCAACTTTTTGTGAAGTTCACTTGATTTTGTCTGAGATTGGTGCTTGACAACTTGGTCAAAATAGCTTGAACTTATGGCTAGGATGCTTTTAAACCGTCCGGGGGGGGGGGGGGGGGGCTGTGCCGCAGCGGCGCCGGAGGCTTGATGGCTCTACTGTCACGGCCCCGGGGTCCGGGGGCTGCACAGTGATGCAAATGGGGTTCACGAGTGGCCATAAATACCCAAAAGTCAAGTTTACCAAATCGAGTTAATTGTGATATGGCCGAGTAGACAAATGTTTGGGGCATCTGAAATCACATGGCTTTCATGTTTTTGTCAAAACCGGCCTCGTGTATAATCGTCAGAAGTCGCGACATTTTCTAGGTCGTAAAATGACGGTCAGACACTCGCAAGTTCAAACGCCGCTGGTTTGCGTTCATTTCGTACAAATTGAAAAAATTATGCATGGGAATGATCCCCAAAGCCTTCTGCTTCTAATGCCGGGTCACAAAAAGCCGTATCTTATTCGCTTTGGCGGTAATCTGACTATTTATCATCATGCTGCAATCGCAGTTTTTTACTAAAAAAAAAATGCTTTCGTTTCACCTACAGCACTTAACACAGTGTGTGCCCGTTAGTCCACCATACCATAGCCTTCCCTAATCATTTCTGAGTCGCATCGTGAAAGAATTAAGGCGCTAGCACAGGGCTGACCGGCGCTACAGAGGTTTTTGTCCGGGCGGTCGGGTGCCGCAGTGGGCGCGCAGTGGGCGGGTGGGCCCGCGGCACCCGACCGTGCCGGACGAAAACTTCTGTAGCGCCGGTCAGCCCTGTGCTAGCGCCTCAATTCTTTCACTATGCGACTCAGAAATGATTAGGGATTGCTATGATATGGTGCACTAACGGGCACACACTGTGTGAAGTGCTGTAGGTGAATTGAAAGCAAATATTTTTGGTAAAAAACTGCGGTTGCAACATGATTACAAACAGTTAGCTCACCGCCAAACCAAAATAGATACGGCTTTTTATGACGTGGCATTAGAAGCAGCAGGTTTCGGGGATCATTTTCATGTATAATTTTTGCAGTTTGTATGACATGAACGCACGCTAGCGGCACTTGAATTTCAAGTACCTGACAGTCATTTTACGACATCGAAAATGTCTCGACTTCTGACAATCATACACGAGGCCGGTTTTGACAAAAACATTAAAATCATACTTTTTCAGACACCCCAAACATTTGCCTGACTGACCATATTACGATTTATTCGATTAAGTGAACTTGAATTTTGGGCCTTTTTCGTATTTATGGCCACTCGTGAACCCCATTTGCATCACTGTGGGCTGTGCCGTTGCTTCACCGTCAGCCTGGGGGCTGTGCTGCTGGGGCGCCGGCGAACCGGTGGCCACGCTGCCGGAGTACCATCGGCTGTGGGCTGCACCGCCCCGCGGCACAATCATCCGAGGGCTGCGCCGCCGTGGCGCCGGCGGCCTGATGGCTTTACCGCCGTGGCGCCGACGGCCGGGCGGCTGTGCCGCTGGTCGGCGCTACGGCATGCTGGCGCCATCTACCGCCACCTACGACGGCGCCGCGGCCGTTTAAAGGGACCCTCCCACCTTCAAAAAAGTTCATGAATTGGCATGAAAGTGATGTCGCTCGGTTCAGAAAGAGCGAAAACGAATATCTACCAAATTTCACCGAAAAATATTCACCGGTTTTCAAGATATTAGACTTTTACTTTTGTTTACTTTTTTGGGATCTCCGCTGTTTCTAGCGACTTTATTTTAGAAGTGCGGCGTTTGCGGCAGATGTTGCGCGCAAATAGCATATACCACCGCGTGCTACAAAACGTTTTAGTCAAACATTTAAAAATCGTTAGATATCTGCGCTGACGTCACACATTCAGAGGGGTATTCCTAAGCATTAGCCCCTCTGAATCAAAATGCTGCAATTTTGAAATTCAATATTTCCGATTTAAGGCATTTCTCGATGTTGTGAGTGCCGAAACCGGTAATTGTGAGCCAGGGACCCCATTTTGGCTATCTCAACTCAAATCTAATGTTAAGGTGGGAGGGTCCCTTTAATCGACGGCGCGCACGCTGGCTGGAGGTCAGCGGTACCCGTCCGAGGAGGGGCAATGCTGGCCGTCTTTCACTCTGACTTTTTGTTGTTAATGATGGCGTCACCTCCTTTACCAACCTTCACTAACAACTGACTGTCTTCTCTCTAACATTACTAATCCATCTGATCTCCTGTATCCTTGCCAGCCGGTGGCGCCATATATCTATTCACTATGTTTTTGTTCGTTGACTCAAACTACATACCTTATTTGCCTATTTTCTGTATTGATTAATAAACCGCCGGTGGAAACCGGAAGAGAGATGAAACCTTAGGCCAGCTCTACGAACAGAAATTGATGGCTAGGGCTTTGACTATCCTAATTGAAGAAACCCACAATTTTGGACAGGCATTGAAAAAATAACTGTTGATGTGAATAAAAATTTCAGATAGCCCAACTGATACATTTTCATGCCTGAGTTATTTTGTGGTAGGTTCCTAGTTGGTGAAGCTTGTGATAGACAGAATTAAAAATAATAGCAGCCAGCAATTTTTATTTTGGTTAAACTTGCCTCTGTGCTGAACTTCCTTGATTTCAGGCTTTAGTCAATAATGTTATGTTCCAGTCTTCCCCATAGGCTCCAATGTTTTGGAGAGATGGATTAATACAGCTGGGCTCAAGAGTCCAGGGGCCAGGGCCTATTCCAACAGAACTTGGTCCACACTGCACACTCAACTCTACAGTGCACACTGTTCAGTGCTCAGCTCTTGACCTCCAGAACTTGGTGTGCACTCAACTGAACAGTTCACACTGCTCAGCTCTTGACCTCCACCATCTGTCCAAGAAATTACGGGTCAACAGGCTTCAAGGAAGTCTAAAATATTGAAAAGAGAAAGGGTATGGTGTTAGCTGGCATGCTATGACACAAACTGGCCCTATCACTGGCTAAAGGTGACAGGAGTTGTTCCAGCTAAGTGCAGACTATCCCTGTCAGAAGTCTTCTATGTTGGGCACTGCATTGGTTGCAATGGTTTAGCACTTCCCCATGTAGCTGATTACACTGTATAAGCATTTTGCTGGAAAGCAATTCTGTTTTGTAGCATGACTTGCTATGTCTCTGTCCCTCTTTCTCTCTTTCTCTATCTATCTCTAGACTCTAGCTCCTGCTTTGTTCTTTTTCACCTGGTTCCATACCTATACTCTTGTTTTAATTTGATTAATTGATTGGAGAATTAGTCATGGTTTACTTAGACTTCTAGTTATGAGCTTCAGGGTCTCTGTCTTGTCATTTTCCTTGATGCTGGGTTTGGGGCTAACTTGCTAGAAATGTTCTTTATGCGATAGTTCCTAATCGTCTTCACCAGTTAAAGTAATGTTGTGACTTGTTACGGAGCGAGCGAAGCGAGCGGAGTCTTACGTAGAATAACGGAAATTTCTGAGTATGAGCGGCCGGCCGGCCGGCCGTGGGGACGCTCTTCAAAAGCTAATATCTTAGGAACGGGACATCCGATTGACAAGCGGTCTTCTTTACTGAATGTCACTTGGACGTAAAAGTTCTGTGGTGTGATGGCCACCATGCGTTCTTGCCAACCACCGCACGTGGCGCGTGGTAAAGTTGGACATTTTTTAAGAACCCCCAAAATTGCAACCTCAATAACGGCCTAACGGCTGGGCCGATTGAATTGAAACTCGGTACACAGTTAGGTCTCCATCAGATAATTCATCTGCATGTGTTAGGGTTGGGGTGCTGCTGCACGTGCGCACGTGCAGGGGTCGTTTCCAGATCTCGAGAACGGCTGGACCGATGGCGCTCAAATTTGGTACACGGTTAGGGACCAGTTAGTAGGGTGCCGTGCACAAGTCAGTTGGGACCCATTTTGCACGTGCGCACGTGCAGGGTGCCGCTTCCAGATCTCTAGAACGGCTGGGCCGATTGTGCTCAAATTTGGCACATCGCTAGAGACCGGTTAGTAGGGTGCCGTGCACAAGTCAGTTGGAGGTACCCCCTCGAAATTTCGCACGTGCAAGGCCCACCCTCTCGCTCGCTCCGTTAGTCGCCCCATAAGGCGTTATACTGGTGGGTAGGTAGACACTTTTGCACTCATTTGTCTTGAATTATTGCTAGTGATAATGATGAAGCCATGAAGCAAGATCTCTGTTAGTGTCAACCTGCACCTTTGAGTTTTAGCAATGGTCTGATAAAATGATTTCTGCTTGTCGTTCGATCGTTCTTATTGTCTTAGCTGTGTTTAACTCAAGGGCGCATTTAATCAAATGGTCACAATGGTAGCTGGTGGATTACAGATTAAGTGGTTGTATCCATTGTACTCGCTCTTTATCAGAACATGATAAGCATCGCCAATCTTCTACCCATCTTCATGGACAGCTCTAGATGGTTGATCGGTAGCCGCCAGTCTGAAAAGGTTATGTCATGTGGAATGTGTCCTTAAAACTGCTGAGTGGTCTGAATGCTGGCATTGATTGCTGACGGTAACTCCAATCCAATTAGCCGTGATGGGGTCGGCTGTGATTTCTGTCAGAAGCTTCAATCAGCTGAATGGTTAAGGGAGGCTGCTGGGTGATCCAATCGGATAAGTGGTCAGATGGGATATGTGATCGCTGCCAACACTTCTATGGGTTCTAACGTCTTGTCTCCGGGCCTGCATTTGCACACTTTGTCCCGCACCTGTCCCGCCGGTCGCTGTCTCCGCTGTCACCTGGCGGCGGCCCCGTCACTGGGTCAGAGTCCGCCCGGCTCGCGCTCTGTCCGCCCGGCTATCTGCGGTGGCTCTGAGTGGCCGGCTGTGCGCGGCGCCGTGCCCCCTGATCTGGGGACACGGGTCAGCCGGCGGCGGCCCGTCGCCGCCCGGCCGGTCCTCAGTCAGCAGTGGTCAGTGTCCAGAGCGGCGGGCGCCGGCCGTCTCTCTGTGGGTGTTTGTGGTGTGTGACCGCGGCTCGGCTCTGGTGTTCGGGCTGAGCCGGGTGGGGAGCACCGGCGTACCGTCGAGACCCACCGACGGAAGATGAACGGAGCGGCGGCCTACACAGTGGTCAGCCTGCCTGCTCAGGCGGTAAGGGTCATCGACCTCACAGCAGTCGCACACCAACACAACATTTGCTCTACCTGCACCACAGCAGTCGTTTACCATCACCGTACCGGTTACCGGCCTCAGTTACCGGTCTTGCAATACCGGATACCGGTGGGCTTTGAGTGGCTGGTTATCCAATTACCGGTTCTTCCCTTCCCCGGTGCAGTGGCTGTTTTCAATAATCGTGTGCGCTGCCCTGCGGGACAGATCGAGCCTGCGTTCAGATGGTAACCGGGTCGACCTTGGCGGCGGCGGCCGGTGAGCCGATTCGGTTCGCGTCGGGGTTGTGTTGGGACCGGGCCGGACGGAGTCGGGACGGTCGGTCGGAGGCCGTCTCTGGCGGCTGGCCAGCGCTGGTGACGGTCCGGTACGACTCTGGTGCTTCTTTGTGTCGTCTGGTGTCGCCTGGTGTCGCGTAGTGCTAATGCTTCTTGGTGTCTCTTGGTGCCACCCGGTTCTGTCTTCATCCGTCTGGTGCAGCATAGCATCGTCTGGTGCTGTGAGGTGCTGTTCGGTGTCGTCCAGTGTCATGTGGTGCGGCCTGTTGTGGTTTAGTGTCGTGTGGTGCCGCCTGGTACGCCGTGGTGGTGTGTTAGTTTTGTGCCATACACTAGCTGTTACCACGGGCCGTTACCATTAGACGGTGATAAGCTGTGTCCGCCTCGCCCGGCTGGCTGGATGGGTGGCCGGCAGGACTAGGTTTGGGCTGGGGGCCGGTAGAGTAAATATGTTGCTGGTCAGGAATGGCGGAGGTACAGTCTGTCTTAAAAGTACCGCGCAAAGTGACGGTGGATCCATCAAGCCTGACCGAGGAAGGGCCTGCTAAATTTTAGTCACCGAAGCAATTTACATCCTCGTCCATTTCCCAGTTCAATTGGTTTGGTGATTTGCAAATTACAGCAGGCCCTTCCTCGGTCCGGCTTGATGGATCCACCGTCACTTTGCGCGGTACTTTTAAGACAGACTGTACACTGTACAGGCAGTTTGTCGGGTTTTGTGTTATGTATGTACCCCGCCCGGTCAGCCGACAGGGACAGAACAGACAGATAACATGACACTTTATACTGGGGCGGGCGCTTAGGCACAGACAGCGTCCTGATTACCTGCGCTTTCAGTGGAGTCTATGCATAGCCTGACAAGTCGTCATAGTCTGAAAGTCGATGGGAAGTTTTTTTCACAAAGCGCTAGCGAGATTGGATGTAAGGTGCCTATCGGACGTATGTCACTGCCATTGCCCCTTATGGTCAGTTGGTGCGGCACGGGTATATTCCATCAAGAAACCCGCGCGAATGGCTATATTCCCGATATATTTCGAAAGATAGTCGACCAGCCGCTGAGAACTCGTATCGATTGATGGTAGCCTATCATTCTCAGCGAGGTCAAGTGTTGTCTGCAATCTGTGTCGATTTGCTTGAGTTAATCACAAAGGCTGGCCCCTGCGAGCGGCTGAAGATCTTGTGGCCGGCGTATAAGACTGATCTTGATTATCGTCTGGTCCGGCTTCTGAATTCTTTGCTCGCCAATGTTTTATCGACGTTCGACAATGTTGCGGCTCGATTGATCTCAGAGGGTCGTGCTTCATTGGGCTGGAAGTTAATTACGTGCTCAGTTTTATCACCTTGCTAAACAGCTTCGGTGTCGGCCTCCGCTCATGGGATGGGCTCTAAACTCGCTCCGGGAAGTGTGCTCGTTACACACATTTACCATTACGGTCGTAGCACGCGCCGTGTGGCAGAGGCGCGGGCGAGAGGGCGGGACCAGTCCAAGGTTTACCGGGTCCAGTGACTGTCAGCAGCGCGCGCGGAAATGTTTGTCAGCTGGCGCGGCGTCTGTCACCGGTATGTATGTGTGTGTCGTGCTCTTCCTCGGTTCGAGTTGAACCCTGCCCGCGTTTTGCGCCGTGACCTCACCTCAGTGGGCAGTCCGGGCTGTGCCCCTGCCCTGAGGCCATCGGTCGGTACCTCTGTACCGGGTAGATGAGTCCGGCAGATAATCTGACCCCTCGTCCCCCGGCGGCGGTCAAGTGGCGCCGGCCTTGAGGGGTTCTCGACCGGCCTCTGTGCCCCCTCCCCCTCCCTTGTCGATTTCAGTAGTTCAAGTGATGCGCCTCACTCAGGGCACAAGGCCGCTGAATATGCCGCAGCATCGCCGATCGGCCAGCGTCCGGCTGTAGGTCGCGCTTGACGGCGTAAATATTGATGTTCGAGCCGAGTGTTCTATAAGTGCGGACCTCAGCGTAAGGTCGATGTTTTGATGGTGGCTCGCGCTGATGTTTGACAGAAAGGGTCGATCTGGAGCATTCCTGTGGACCACCGCCTTTGGTGAGACTTCAGTCGGTTCGGTGAACTGTTTTGCGTTGTTGCGGAGTGTTGGGCTGTTTAGTTTCCGGACATAACTCTAGACTGTTTATTTTAGCGTTCTTTGTCGCATTTGGGTTGATCCAGGAACTGCTGTGTCAACTTTTCCATCTGCACATCCGGAAAGCCGCTGCAGATGTCCACTTAAACGTATCGGTCAAATGCGTCGCACAGTGTCCTCAGTCGAACAACCTTACTCTGTTATGAATGTCTGATGCTGGTCGATTCTGCGTTTGGTGACTTCCATCGATCCTTACGGGAACCTTCGGTTTACTGAATGTCTGATGCCCACACACTTGTGGGCACAAGCACTGATGAAGTAACTTCCACCATGTGAGTCACCTACTCGTAGCTGCTACTTTACTGATCCGCTCATGTCCATAAGCTTAGACGTGGCTTCCGCCCCTACATGTCACACATAGCACATCCAACTTTTGCCAATCGCACTGGATAATTCATAAACATTAGTTGAAGTACATAACCCGGCCGCAATCAGAAAGATCACGCCAGACATGCGCTAATCACAACAGGGATTGGAGCGACAGTGATCGACCAGCTGTCGACGCCACACGTGGGGCAGTCGGGGAGGGGGGAGGAAGTCTATCAGCTGGCTGTATAGTGGTTCCACTACTCCCCCCCCCGCCGGACTCGTCGTCACTAGCTGTGTGGCCGAGCCAGTGGCCGGTGGCATTAGGTACGGTGCGTCGGAAGGTCACAACTCACAACTACGCGCAGTGTCTCTCCAAAGCTCCACTGTGGAGAGGTTTTCCATTGCGGTGTTTGTGTATTGTGAAGAGAGAGTCGTGTTGGAAACTGCGCATCGTGTCTGACGCAGTTTTGTGTCGCGGACTGACATTGGTGAGGCAACGTAAATCGGAGTTGATATTTTACGTGAAATACTACGGTCGCGATCGCCTGATCCTGGCCCCATATTCGCTGACAGATCGTTATTTAATGTTTGCTGAAGATTTGTGGTAGTGTTCTCGCCAGCTGTCAGTCCTGCTTAGACTGGTGTGCCATTTTTCGCTCTCAACACTTCAGGAAGCGTACCATCCCTCTGGCATGCTCCCGTCTCCCTTCTGTTCTATTCTAAGCTGTTCCAACATCTATTTTTCACTCGATCATCCCGTTCCCCACTGACCATCACCCTCTCTGTTCCCCCAGGCGGCGGTTGAGTCTCCGTCGTCAGTGCGCAGCACAGTGATCTCAATGGGAGGCGAGTCGCGCGGACGGCGCCCCGCCCAGACAGCGCGGAACGGAGGCACCGCTACACACCCGCTCGACATCAACATGGTGAAGGTGGCCGAGCGGGAGGAGCGCGAGGGCATCGTGCTGTGGCGGCGACCTGTCACCACACTGCACTACTGCTCAAGAGAGCTGCTCATTGAGCTGGTCCGACTCGTCAGAAAGTGAGGAAACGATCGGGGAAGGGCAATGGGGAGGGGGTGAATATATTTGGGAGAGGAGAGAAGTAGAGGGAAGGGATTTCGAACTGTGGACAGTCACTGACTGGGAAGGGAGCGAGACGTGATGGGTGGATGGGCTGTCGGGGTCCGATGTTTGTCATTAGTTTCAGTCCTGTCAATGAAGATAATTCTGCGATGTGCATGATGAAGTGGCGATGCAATGCTTCTTAGTGGCACTGAACTAAGTGGCCACAATGCTACTTAGTGGCACTGAACTAATAACCTCGTCGTGTTATTTGTATTTGCTAGCTTTCTTTATCATGTTGATTGTAGTTGTATTTCGTCGCTGAATGTCCGTTCTGACGTGGCTCTCTTTTGGCAGACTATGGAGGAACCGGTTGATGGTGGTGCTAGCGCTAATGCTGGTCGCCCTCGGGGTGGTCATCTACTACACAGACGGCGAGCACCAGGAGGTACGCACGGCCCTCCACGTGGCGTCTGCCCACCGCCCGGGGACAGGGGAGGGGCTCTGACGTATGGAGAGTGGCGCGATGGTGCGGCCTTGACTCTGGGACTGGGCCGCGAGGAGTGGTGGGGGCTCGGAATTACATATTTAATGTTTGCGTACTGTCGTATTATCGAGGCGTGTGGGCCCGTCGCTTACTGTCGCTTCCTGTATCAGGAGTTCATGTCGCGAAGTGCGCAATATGAACTGAATGGGACCGTGTTTACCTTAAACTCTGAGATAATATGCCTTAACGATAAGATGAACGAAAATGTCGACGCTCTCTACAAACCTAAACGCCTAAACGGCATTCTAATTTCGAAGTGTGATGCTAGGTGGCATGTTGAGGCTGCATTTGCTTAATGCATTTGCTGTCCTACGGTGCCCCACGCTAACCCTTCTGTTGTCTCTCCACAGTCGATCCGCCGGTTAGAGAAGCAGCTGCTCTGGTGTCTGTACTGGGTCGGACTGGGCGTACTGAGCTCAGTCGGACTCGGCACCGGCCTCCACACGTTCCTGCTCTATCTGGGGCCGCATATCGCCGCCGTCACACTGGCTGCGTACGAGTGTGAGAGCCTCGACTTTCCCGAGCCGCCCTACCCGGACGAGTGAGTAAAGGCAGGCAGGCAGGGAGGGAGGGAGGGAGGGAGGGAGGGAGGTGTGAATGAGTGAGTGAGTGAGTGAGTGATTGAGTGAGTGAATGAGTGAGGTGAGTGGGAGGAGAGATGCAAAAAGCTGAGGCAGGGAGGGAGTGGGGGGTTGAAGTCACTAGTCAACGATTGGAGGGACGGTTGAGAGAAATGGATGTCGCCCGTCGGGCGATGCAGGTGTTGGATGCATTAGTAGAAGGGTCAGGTGGCTTTGTATCGCTAAATTGGCTGCGACGAGCGTTCCACAGCTGTGAGGAAAGTGTGATGCATGTTGTCGTGTGAGTCATTGCAAATTGGGTGCCGCCTGATCACGCAAACCGTAGTACGTGCTAAATGCTGATATTCTAATCCAGTTGTACTATATCTTATATTCGGACATAGGTACTCTTACCCTTTGAAGTATCAAGAAGACAGTTTCTGTCATATTTGTGACATACTCGTGGGAACCATGCATTTTAAGCGTCAAGTGTCGATGACAGGCCCCTGGGGCCGCTGTTGCCACCTGGGGTATTTTAAATGCCACTGTCAACTGGCTAGGTGCTCGGTAATGGCCACAATTTAGTTACCAAACACAACAGGGTCACTGTCGCAAAAGCCGATTCTAGGTCGGCATTGGACGAGTTTTTCCACAGCAGGGTATTTTGTCGGCATAAACGATACCGTCTCACATTGTATTTAGTCTATGTTTCACGCTCATTGCTGAAGGCCGTCGCGTCAAAAGCCTTCACGAGTTCATGTTGTTTGTGCATGGTGTAGTTTGTTAGTAGAGCGAAGTACCGTTTGTTGATATGGCGTTCCCAGCGACCATAGCCGTCTGATGTCTAAGCGGCCAGTGACCTTTCTTTCAAACTACAAGCTGTATGATTCGTATGACGTACGCGAGTCGCGTGGCCAACTCGTGTGCTCAATAGGCGGAAACGCATGGGGGAACTGTGTTTTGGGTCTGTCCTGACCCTCTGACCTTTTGACTCTTAGTCAGGTTCTTTGATCGCTTAACTGATTCTCAGGCAATAATTCATGTGACCTTTTCAACTGTCTATATTCTGTCCGTTTATAGTTGTGTGCCTTTGCAGTTTTATAGTTTAGTTTTATCCCTTTATATTCTATATTTAAAGTAGTTTTATACAGGGTGATTTTTTTTAACTGTTAAAAAGTAAATGTCAATGGTGGTCCCTAAATCGAAAAATCGCGTGCAAAAAAGCAATGCACGTGATAGATAAATCTGGGACATTTTGTATGGTGTCATGATTTGTCCCTTTTAACCGAAGGCCTCGGCCCCAATGGAGCCTGAAAATGTCCCACCAATCGGGCACGCATGGTCCACCGCCGTTCAGTAAGGAATGGCACAAAACGATGATTTTGAAGCATTGAGGCAGTTCGAAGCATACGATCATCGAGGAGACACCCCAGAAAGACGTTAGATAATGCACGAACAAGCTTGTAGTCATAAATAACCTTCAAACGGTTCATTTGGCGTATGTGCAGCCTCTGAAGAATCAGTCTTCAGGGAGAAAGAAAAACAACAAATCAGACACCACCAGGGCCGCCAGTATCGAAATCCTCGACCTACCCTTAATAGACTTCTAGTTTTTGGACCCAGCTATGGCAGATATAACAAGAAAACAGTGGAAATATCTGGCAGAGCTGAAAATGGGCGATAGGAGCCTTTTCAGCTCGCCTAAGGAGTATGGGAGTCCATGGTGCTGTTCAACACGTGCTCAGGCGGGCTGATTCGTGTCGGTGAGAGAGGGGGTAACTTCAAGCACAAGTAAAATACACGATGGACGTTCCTTCACATCGTGTCTGCATGAAATCAAAATGTCCCAGCATGCTTGTCATCCTGGTATATAATTTTGCAATATATATTTGTATTTTAACCCTCGCATGTGTGCGGCGTTTGCCAGCTTCTAATGTGTAGGGGGGGGGGGGGTCGGTTGGACCCCCCTTGCCGTTTGGCCCCTGATCGAGCTAGAGCTTCGCGGAAAAAAACGAGCGTGTTGCCCGTGACGAGAGGAATCCGATGATACCCAATTTTAAGGTCCTAGGTCATTGGTTGACCTTCCAGGTCAGGTCAATGACCCAAAGTCGGGAAAATCGGGACCTGTTAGAAAGTCGTAAAGTGTGGCTGCTGAGGGGTTTTTCGGGGTGCTGATCACGAATATCGTGTTAGTTTTGATCACAGATGATGTTTTTAAGCATTTAGACCAGGTCGGGTCAGGTCAGGTCAGGTCAACCAGTAGGCGTCGTGACGGGTATTCGTAGTACGTGTCAACCGCCTCTGACAGCTTCGTAACATGTTACGAAGGCACCAAAACTACTTCGTAAATGTTCAAATGGTTGCTAAATTCGAATTCAGCTCCAAAAACTAGCTTAGAAACATGTACAGCTCGAAAAAGTGAACCGAGGTCACCCGAGGTCACCAAAGGTCAATGACCTGACCTGACCTTCAGGTGACCTTGACACCCACCCTAATGCATGGAAGCAACATCAAATCACATGTTTGAACGTTTGAAACCACGAAAAGCCTGCAAACGCGCGGCTAATGCGAGCCGACATACGCAGAATCGCGATTCCGGCCAAACATGGCCTCGGAAAAGAGGTCACAGGTCAAAGGTCATTTGGGTCAGGGTCATGAAATTTTCAGGGTAGGTGTAAAATTGATCAATGTGAGGGTACTGAAAGTTTCGTCGCGATCGGCCGCTTTTTACGCGAGTTATTCGCGAAAAACCATGGGGGGGTCCATCCGACCCCCCCCCCCCTACACATGCGAGGGTTAATGCCACTAGACCTCATTACTTTTTAACAAGTAAAAAAAAAATCACACTGTATGTGTTTATATAGTTCTATAGACGATTCACTTAACCCCGTCTGACCGCGCGCTGCCCCGCCGCCAGGATCGTGTGCCCAGCCGAGGCGGGCCCGGCGGCTCACATCACCATGTGGTCCGTGATGTCCAAGGTGCGACTCGAGGCGTTCATGTGGGGCGCCGGTACCGCGCTCGGTGAACTGCCGCCCTACTTCATGGCTCGCGCCGCACGACTCTCAGGGGTTCAGCCCGATGATGAGGACTTTGAGGAGTTTGAGGAACTCAGGAAGAAGAAGAATGCAGGAGACCTGTCGCTCCTGGACAGGGCCAAACTGGGGGTGAGTGGTGGGGTTTTGGTGGAGCTGCTTGGCATGACGGTGTCTGTTGTATGTACTTTACTCATATCACTATCTAGTATCTACACGTGGCCTGTGGACCATGCATTTTTGTAGAGGTTTCTGAACTGCCATTGACGTCATCACAGAAGCAGTCCTTTGTCCAGTTCGATTTGCTCGATATCTATTTGCTGTCAATGACTTATTTGGTGTCCTTCCTTTGTGTCCAATGACCGTGACTCGAGACGTTAGTCGATTAACGGTTCGTCCACTCTTTGAATGGGTTGACTGGTGTAATGGTAGTACATACAATCGTAGGCAGCCGATACGTTCTGCTTGTTTGAGGACCGCCTAATGCTTAGTGTGTTCTCAGCAAATATCCGTTTCTTGTTGCCGACAACCGTCACTCCCTTCTAACTTATGTGTTATGTATATTGTATAGCTTGCTGTATTGCAAGGTCATTCGAAGTATGGCTAATCTGTCGCTTATGCGCAGCAATGAAATGTTTCAGCGCAAATTACACCATTTATTTGTGTTCTTTGAAGAACACAGTTAAAACCTACATAAACCCAAACGTAAACAACGCTGTAACAATTCGCACTCGTTCATCGACAGAACGTTGAAATTGCTTGGTCACATATTCTGTCAACTTAGATTGGACTGGCATCCTACCACCTTCAGTAAAACTTCTAAATATTATATCGAATGGAATCAGTCTTAGCTTACCCATTACATTCTCCTGTAAGGAGAACTCTAACGAAATGAAAATATAATCGCTCTCGCCCGCCTCGGTACCTTGCTCATTTATAGTCAATGGTGATTACTATGCTACAGACCGTTTTTGCATGATGGCCGTTTGTTTAGGTCGTGGCCGTGTCATGTTGATAGCGCCAACCTGCCCTGAATCTGTACCGACTTGAGACCCACAGTGTCCTTTTTGTCCCTGCCCTAACCGTGTATTTGCCGTGTTTGCGTCACCATGTGTTGTACCGTATCATCATATGACAGTAGTGTGACCAAGAGGTCAACGACCGGGACCCTTCCCTATCATCGTAAACCACGGACGCCGGATCACGCCCTTTCGTCCGTGCTACGTGAGACTGGCGTGATTGTGAGTCGATGACCATTTGGTTCTCGTCAGTGCCTACATTGAGCGCTCAATGTAGGCAATGTAGGTTCGAGTGTACTCTGTGTCCAGCTCATTCGCTGCTGATGAACCCCTAATTTCTCGGGCAGCTCTCTGTTCTTTGCACCGGCCTCTGTGCTGTTTTTCTCTATACGAGTAACTTAAGTAACTTAAGTAACTTATGTTTCCGATAACTTTTTTAACTTATTATCAAACATAAGTTTAACTTATGTTTGACAGTTTCCCAGACTGTTCTCTGCTATAACTATGTATGACGCCGTCCATGACGATGTGCTCATCAGACTGTGCCTGGACCTGTCTAAGTATTCATCCATTCCACTGCGTACCCCATCAGTTCCTCCACTCTGACACCGTCCTCCTGTCATCCCCAGGTGGAGCGTCTGGTAGAGCGGGTCGGCTTCTTCGGTATCCTGGCATGCGCCTCGATCCCCAACCCGCTGTTCGACCTGGCCGGCATCACGTGCGGACACTTCCTGGTACCCTTCTGGACCTTCTTCGGCGCCACGCTGATCGGCAAGGTAAGGACTGGAGGCAGAGCGGATAGAGTGTTGACTCACATGAGAGAAGCAGGGGAAGGGCGTCGTGCACGTACCTAGCTTGGATCACGGAGAGGCGGTGTTCGAAGTAAATATAGCCACGTAAAGGTCTAATCCGATTGTGTAGATGATTCATTTTGTATGAGCCGTCTTTTATAAAAGGTTTGTTGAATACCTACTCGTAGTTAGCTGTTATATTATATAATAAGGATACGTTGAACCTGCTCTAAGCGTAGACGTGCTCGTGGTTTTGGGGACGTCCGCTAACTCACTGAGGAGGAAAATAATTACCTGTTGGACTAGCTGTGAACTAAACCGCTGGCTTTCTAAGAAGAGTTGGATGGCAGGTTTTCACTGTGATATAAAGACACATCACAGAATTGCTGGTTTTGAATAGGTAGACGTCATGACACAATGATACCATCAAAACCACTCGTTCAATAGATCATCCTTGGCGTCACCTGTGCCGTTTATAGTTACATCGTTCCCCACTAGATGTCAGCCCGGTCTGACGGCATCCCTCCCGCAGGCGGTGATCAAGATGCACATTCAGAAGATGTTCGTCATCATCACGTTCAACGAGCACCTGGTAGAGACGGCAGTGGATCTGCTGGGCCGTCTACCGCTCGGGGACAAGGTTCAGGGACCTTTCAAGGACCTGCTGGATAAGCAGAAGGAGAAGCTACACAGGAAGCCCGGCCAGGGCGTGGCACAGGTGCGTATCGTGGCGGTGGAAAGGGAGGGGGAGACTGGTGGGGAGGGATACATTGCGTGGGGAGGGCAAGGAAATTGCGTGGGGACTGGGGAAGGTAGGGGAGAAGCTTATTCTAGGGAAGAGGAAGGTATGTCCCATGCGACTTCGGTTTGTTGGTATTTTTGGTGTGCCTATTTGTCGTTCGTGATTAAAAGATGTCCGTGTTTACTGCATCCATGTTTTTCATAATTGCTATACATTGTTTACGGCGTAGTGGAAAATGCCTGCTTATTTTCCCTTAAGCCGCGGCTCTTTCTAATTGGACAAGTTTCGTGTTATGTAACGACATCTTTACGAGAATTGCTGGCTCGAAGTGAAACTAGCTTCTCTGTCAGAACTCAGGTTTCGTGCGGAGACCTATTGTTTACATTATGGTGGTCGGGAATGTCTATCGGCTTTCAACATTTGTTGACAAATACACGAAGGCTTTGCTTCGGGTACCTTCCCAGCTCGCCCTTTGTTCGTTGTGTGCGGAAACTGTTGTGTAACAGGGCGGTCGCTGACTCCCTTTCACGTCCCTCCACAGAGCTCTGAGAGTCTCCTCTCGGCCATATTCGAGAAGGTCATCATTATCATGGTGGTATATTTCGTCGTTTCCATCGTCAACTCGATGGCGCAGAGCTACCACAAGCGGCTGCACCGGCCCAAGGGACGAAAGGTGGCCAAGGACTGACTGCAGCGTCCGGGCGGCGGCGGGGACCGGGCCGGCCGCCGCCCGCGCGGACTGCTGCCCCGCTGATAGCCGCCGCCGCAGCCACAGCCACAGCGTTCTCCGACTCGACAGCGGCGCCCTCGGCCGGTAAGGTGACTGCGGTACCCTGCCCACCACCGCGGCTACCCCTCAGTCAGTGAGGGAGATATAGTGACGGTTAACGGATCATGGGCGGTGGATGACGGGACAGAAAGCCCTCCGTCCAGGCACGTTCCCGTCTGTCGGTCTAGAGATGGCCACTACTTGCCAGAGGTGCCGCGACTGTCAGCGGGGGGCTCTCGACGGGTTTGAAACGCACGAGGTCGGTAAGGATCAGACGATCGCCGTAGGCAGGGAGCGAGTCAGTGGTTCTGTTCCGTCCGATGAAAGAAAAACTAGCTAGATTATTTGAATTAATTTCCGAGCCCCTACGTTGTTCGTTTCATTGGTTGACTTAAAAACAATAACTTGTGTTGAAAGATATCGCTTCCGGTATGAGATGTCGTAGACCACAGATAGCGACCAAGTGTGATGGAAATTCAGGGCATTGGGTGTGTCCGTGCCATGGGAGGCCGGTCGCCGGCCTCAGACCGACCTCTACCGCCTGTCCGCGTGGACGTGTCCGCCCGTGTCCGCGCGCCACGTGCGACGTGGCCACGTGTGTCGGCACGTGTCTCAGCTCAACTGGCGGCGCCGTGTCGCGGACCAGGCGGCCCGTGCCGCCCCTGTGACGACAGACAGTGATATGTGTGATGTGCTGGCATATCGCACTGGCACTGTGACCGATCGCAGGCTCTGCCGGCGACGTACATATTCCCGTGTGTCGCGTAGGTCCAGTGTTACAAGTGACAACCGAGCTATATTTTAGGGTCGGTGTGAGTTTGTGTGAGTGCGGTATGTGTATGATGTGTTCTCCCAGATACAATGCATTTTATTATCACCCAGCTCGTGTGCGGGCAGGTTCACATTTTATCGCCCTCAGTTGTAGAAATTCACAAGGTATTGGTGGTGCATTATTTAATGTTTGCCGGTAATTTATGTTAAATACATGCGTAATGTACCGTGATTCTGTGTGCTCTGATCCTATTGTGGCTAGTTAGTTATGGGCAGCGGCTGTGGCTAGTTAGAAGTTACGAATTATAAGTTAAGATAGCTGGTATACCTAATTCAGTTTGTTCACCGAAGCAACAGTCCCCGGTGGGCTCACCGATCAGTTTCACGAACCCAGTCATGTTGCTTCTCCTTCTTTGCCTTGTTCGGGACTGAGCCCGTCCCAGCATCGCGTGTAACCGTGTTCGTCCATCTGTGCTGAGTTCTGCTCGTCCTGCTTGTCCCCAGTCTCTTCGGCGGTAATGTTCGCATGTCTGTCCCATGGGATGACATGGCGTTTTCGATAGTCATTCCTGCCGGTTCCATTCCGCGTATGAGTTGAGAGAATTCTGAAGTAGTTTGGACTGTACCGGGCGGTAGAACCCGGCCCTGTCGATCAGCGTTCGTGCAGTCGGAGGTTCTGGCACCGACTGATGCCCCCCCCCCCCCTCTCCCATGCCCTGGTATGAGCGTACCGGTGTCGTGCCCGACGCCAGGGCTTTCCTTGAAAAGGGAAAGAGGTCGGTCGACATCTGATAAGCCGTCACGAAATCCCGGCCGGCAGCGTCGGCAGTGTGTCGGCGGTTTCTTTAGCGGGAAGTTGTTGACAGGACGGGAAACTGGGTGGCATGAGGGCGCCGCCTCAGTCGCGGATGGTCCTCCAACGCGCAAAAACGCCCCCAAAACAGGCGCCAGACAGCAGGGATAACGTCATTAGCACAAAACACGGTAAAAGTTCCTGAAAACAATCCTGTCACGCCTCGATGTCGGCATCCTTTGCAGGACTGCGGTTTGGGCTTATCTACGGTAGCATGTGCTGCGTTTTCCTGTCGTCTTGTATCGGCCAGTGACCCAAATGTGGGCTATTATCGTTGTTCATCACTGACTGAGTCGGGACTCGAGTCAGCGAAATCTGATGCAGGTCTGTGCACCAGGAAACAATGGTCGTGGGTCGCAGACACGCGTCGCGGATTTCGGGGGAAGTCCGCTTTGGGACACAGTCATGCCTGGTCAGTGGTCTGGTCTGGTCTGGTCTGGTCTGGTCTTGATCAGATGTTACAATGTGGCTGATGTATCGCAATCGCATGAGCTTTCTCCAATCTCTGCAATTTCATTTTGGTACTCGAGCTGAATAAGGGCTCGACTTCGAGTCGCACGGCCAGCAGAGGTGAGGGTCTGTCGTTATTGTACTACTTAGATAGCCGTGGAACGCAAAGCCGGATCTCTGTTCTGTCTGCTGTAACACGCTTCTTAGACTGACTGCTTTAGTGTGACACCGTCACGAATCGATCACACTGTCACGTCACGCCGGTCCGTGACTCGGGTCAGACGTGTGTCACACTTCGTGAGCTGACGCCATCCCGGGGTCATGACCCCCGGTCGGTGGGGTTCAGGTCCAGGTAAAACTCTCCATAGGTCGAGTTCGTTACCGTGATATCGTGTCGTTTTATAGGGCAAAGTGTGACTAAAGTCTGTGTGTACTTGAACCCAATCCTTCATTTAAGGTTGATTAGAACAGCGACGAGTGTCACGCTTCGGGGTACGGAGAATCGGCCACGGAAGCCCTCGTGGAAGCACTAACAACGTTGAATCGACCAGTTTTATAATAACGTCTGGCAAACGCTGGCTAAAGAATTACTGGAAAAAGTTATTCTCCAGTCGCTGTCCTCGTTGCATGCAACGTGTTCAGCACAACGAAGACGCAAGCCATTAAAGCCGAGTTATCATCAAATGGAAGCACGGAAATCAAGCCAGTTCTCTCGGGCTTGTGCTCGGCCAACGACAGTACATCATCTATTTCCACCGGAGAAGGCCTCGTTTCTAAATAAATAAGTGTATTCGACGCTGCACATTTGCACATACAAAACAGAAGGAGCGCGCGCATCGATGGGCAGTGCTTTACCAAGCGAACACAATGATCATAGTCAGCGAACGCTGACAGTGCGCGCTCCCGGACACCGGCTGCCCTCAGTTGACCCTGTGACCTCCCGACCCGACCCGACCCTGCCCCCTAACCCCCCCCCCCCCATTCAGCCCGTCGGATGCCCGTGATCGACTGCGTACGCCCGCCGCAGTCTTATCTCCAGGTACTGAAGGCCAATCGCGGCCGACGCTCACTCGCTCACATTTCTCACTCGCTCTCACTTAGCTCTCACACGGAACACGTCGCGTTGTACTTTGGTAGTTCATTGCTGCGATGCCCAAACGCTCCAGCTCTGGTAACTCGCGGTCGGGCCGCACAGCTCACCGCGGCGGAACAGCGCTGCCGCCGCCGCGCGGAAGCCCTCGGGAAGATATGGTGCGGGTGGGTGTGACGTCATCGAGTGTGACGTCATCGAGCGACGTCGCCTGCTCGGCGGTGGTCCCGGAGCTCCCGGGAGAAGTGACTACTGACTAGTCTTCACGACGGGTCGCGCGCGGAGAACAGCCATGCCTTACAAAAATACACATTGCGTCGCGTCATGTCGCGTTGTCCACAGCCCCAGGGCGGCACAACCACTGTCCGTCCACCTTCCACTGTCCACACCGTCCACCGGCGGTGGACACGGCCTCACGAGATGTCCTCGAGCGTGATACAGCGCTGCAGCGCCGGCGGCACAGCCAGCCGGTGTACTCCGGCGGCTATCCCGCCGCCCTGCTGCAGGTTACGGCGCACCTCCTCGCAGCAGAGGTGGCGCAGCTCAGCCGGCTGGCTCCAGTACCGGCGGATGCGCGATTTGAGCTCCAGAAACACAGGCCCCAGCAGACGAATGTGCTGGCCCTGGCTGACCATAGCTCCAAGAACGTGCCGCTGCATTTCGGCCGGCCGCCGCGCCATCTGACGACAGAGCAGCGCCAGGGTGGTATCGCAGTCCTCGAGCCGGCGCCGCTGGACGACACCGCGCAGCAGCGCACAGAACGCGGACGCGCGCCGCACGCGCACCTCGGCGCCGGCGTTCAGCAGCGCCCGGGTGAGGGACGCCGCCGCGTCCAGCTGCTGCGCGGCGTACATCAGCAGCGTCGAGTCGCGACCGTTGACGGCGTTCACATCGGCGCCGGCGGCGGCCAGCCGCTCGGCGAGCCGCGCCGCCAGCTCGTGGTGGCCCTGTGTGACGAACGAGCGCAGGTAGAGGAGCGGCGTGTCGCCCTCCTGATCTGCAGCGTCCAGTCGCGCGCCGGCCTCCAGCAGAGAGGTGACGCACTCGTCCAGAACCGGCCAGCTCGGGCCGCGGCTCTGGTCTGTCGGAGCAGAGGGAGAGAAAGGGTCAGAGAGTCGGTTCATGCTTATCAGGTCAATACATAAAAAGGGCACGTTAGACAGACCTAAGTATGTGCAAAAATAACAATGCTGACTATAACTTTTCGAGCAGATGCGGAAGCGCATCCAGAAAATGTTCGTCGCTGTATGCGCCTAAATTCAACAACCGAACTGCGCCTATACCTATTCAGCAACCGAACTATCAGTGGTTTGTATACCAAACAATAATGTACCGATTTTCTTTATTCAGATTTACGATTTCTCATTCAGACCTCAAGTTTAGTATCTTTTCAGAAGGTGAAGTCTCCACAGTCCACACAAACACCGTCTATACTCACAAAGAAACAGTACGTGAAGCGGTGTCTGCCCGGAGCCGTTTTGGACGTTCACTAGTTGCGGATGTCGCCGACAGAGGTCTCTGACGCTGGGTCGCGGGTCGGCCGTGGCACAGGCGCGGTGGAGCGATGTCACAGAGTCCTGGGGACAGACGTCGTGAGGTCAGCAAGGAGTCAAATAAGCGGTGGGCGGTAGCCGTCGAATGTAATATTGGTGAAGACGGGCAAAGACAAAGAACCCGTCACTATTAATTTAAACGGTTCCAAGATGTATGAAAATTCGATGAGCCAACAGTACGAAGAATGCATTGATCGTTAAAAAGAACGGAGCTAACACATCATTTTTACACGGAATACCTTGGTAAGTGTCAGGGCTGTTAACATTTGGCCTCCAGTCATAATTAATCTGTCACGAACCACACCATGCGACCTGTGACATGCAGCTGTGCCGAGCAGAGAGGTGCAGAATTTCCTTATCAAAAGACTTCCCTTTTGCGCCCAAAATCGTTTGCCTTCGGATGAAAGAATGAAAGGTAGAACTTCGGTCACCTTGGGTGACTGCATGGTGCCTATCATTGTCTTGGAATGCAGTATGCACTGATAAGTGTAGCAGAGTGACTGAGCTTGCCAGCCATAACATATGTATGTATTTAGCTCGATGTTTACGGGACAGCCAAGCCATTAAAAACTTCAATGGATCTGCAATTCAATTTTGACCGGACAATAGCTCTCCCGTCTACGCACCGTTCGTATTGCTCGAACGCTTTATTCCATGTTCGGCGGCACAGCCTATCTGCAGGCGCTTCCACTAGTGACATCTAGTGACGGGATTTGCATTCTACAGCCGAGTCGAGTTTATTGCCGATGCAAACGTTTTTGTCCGTGATAAAGTGGATGCAATCAGAAGTGTTTCTTTTTTGCCAAGTCATGAAGTAAGTAAAGCATAAACTACTTATCACGTATGCTCACATATGCTCAACTGTAAGCTAAATTTGCATAAGTAGGTATATGATAAGTTTTGCGAAGTGGATTGCGGAAATGCACCGAACGTTGAGAGTTCAAGCAGACATTAGATTGCATGACGATATTCGTTCATGCAATCAATGCATTCTTCAGCCAGCTTCGCAGTAAATGAAGTCTTGTCGTGCTTCTTTTCACATTATTTCGGTTATTTATTTCGAAATAAAGTCGATGTCCTTTGATTTTCGTCGAGATAGGAACGTGCCATAGGAAAAAAAGATGGTTACCGTGCACGATGTAATTCATTTTCAAGTTGTCTTACCTCGATATGAGCGCAGGTGGCGGGCTTGTGAAGAACAGTGCTGTATCCGAGGAGCAGGGAGAGGGGAGATTCCAGGGAGGCTTCCGCAGCTGTAAACGGAGAACACAAACCGTCACATGCTGAACACTACCCGTGACGACCTAAACACAAACGGCACCAATCACAACTCGTCAGATCACCAAGCAACTATAGAGCGACCGCTTCCAAAGCGACCATCATTACATCAAAACCACGTAACGGTATGCTGTCACGGCACCGACCGCACCTCACGGGTTAAAGCGACCTCTCGAACATTTCAGGGATAGTGTGTCGACTTTAGGGGAACTCCCTGTACATAATTATGATCATAATGACGGCTTCCGTGTCGGAGCTGTATGAACAAAGAATGTGTCGATAAATACAGTGACCTTTAGGTTCTGAAGTCGTCAGGAAGACGATAATTCTGTCGCAATCCTTTGCAGGTTCATGAACAAATACTTTAAGTTGTTCAGCATGAGCCATTCTAATTCAAAAGACTGTGATCAGGTCGGGCTCCTCTGAACAGCCAGTTTCCGATCAAAAAGTATCTGGACACGATATGACAAACGGGCGGGGTGCTGGCAACGCCAACTACCAGTCGTGACTGAAAAATTAACAGATAATATACCTAAGCAGTGCTGACACAGTTCAGTACGTGAGATCAACGTTGCAAACTACTTTCGTGGACTGCCGCCTGTGCCCGGTGCCCGCAATCACGACAGTAAGGAAAGCTGTTGTTGATCAACACAAAGGACTCACGAATCCTTAGTAAACGAACAAATCAAACAGCCGGTTGAGGCAACTTTCAGGTCTTTTCCTCAATCCTCGCCGACATGAACTAGTTAGTGCCTCCTTCCCATTTCCCAATCTCTCCTTCCCATTGTCAATCCCTTGTTGCAGACACTTTCCGTGCCTGTCGCCCGGTATCAGTCTGTTCCTCGGAAACCTTGAGCAACCATCTGGCAGTTTACATGGCTCACTAGCTGCAGCATGACTCGGCAGCAGCCGGGGTCAGTCACAGTGTGTCTATAGATTACAGCCCTCTGAGAGGTCAGCATCCCCAGCCGGACCCCGCTGGCGATCCGTACAACTGGTGGGTAGCTGCTCCCGGAGCTGGGGCAGCCCCACTCTCGGAGCTGGGACAGCTCGGCTCTCTCGGAACAGCTCAAAGGGCCGTGCCGGCAGCGGCTGCTCTGTCGGCGAGAGCCCGGGGGCGGCGGAGTGGGCCGCCTGGGCCGGAGATGTTCGAGGAAGTCGGGCCGGTCGGCCGGCGCCCGCGCCACGTGGCCTGACCCCCGACCTCCCGTGAGCGACCTTCAGAGAGATTATTGGCGCCGCGCCGAGCCGAGCCGGGCGGCGCCCCCGAGCAGCAATTAGATACAGGGTCTGATTTACATATATAATATAGATTCACTGAAATAAAAGCAACTTAGAAAGGCCGGGATATTCAATCACTGCATTGCATTATGATATCGCTTTGATTCATTATACAGACACAGTGTGCATGTAGGCATTCTTAAAGTTTTGATACTTCGGTGGTATCCCATGCATGGAAAATGATTCAGTTTCAGACAGAGCGCGGAGGCTGACTTCCTACCGCCGTCCGGAAGTGGACTGACCCGGAGGGTGGGAGAGGGAGCAGAGAGCAGCCAAGGTCTCCACCATTTATTCCGGCGCTCGTCTCCGGAAGACGGACTGGCCCTGGGCGCCTTAGGCCAGCGGTAGAGGCCGCCTGACACGAACACAAAGGGTCGGCCGGCTCATGAAACGAAACCCGTCCCGGCCGCCGGCGGCCGCTCATTTACCGCACAAAACGACCAGCTCCACATTGGCGTGAATTCCTGTCGGATCCCGTTCCTGCTCCGTTTGTGGATGTGAGCCGAGAGGGTGAGGGATAGAGCCAGCTCTCTGTTCACCTTCTGATCCATTTGGCGCGGCCGGGTCGGCCGGGGGTCGGGAGTCGTCAGCCGTCAGGTCGGCTCACCTTTTCTATTGAGCGGCGGCGCGTCCAGCTGGCGTTGGAGCGAGCTGAGGCGGTGCTGACATTCTCCGAGGAAGCAGGCGGCCGGCAGCAGCGGCCCATGACTGTCCCCGTCGGCCGGGTCAGCGCTCCGCTCCAGCATCGAACAGGCCAGCTCCTCTCTGAAACAGACACACAGACATGGTCAGCAGGGAACGGCGGCACGGTGGGGATGGAGAGAGCTGGGGAGAGCTAGGGGAGCCGGGGGAGAGACAGACATAGGTATATGGAGCCTGGGAAAATATGATTAGGTGGGGAAGGCTGAGAGGAGCTAGGAGATGCTTGTAAGAGTTGTGAGGCGAATAATGTCATTGCTGCCAAGGGCGACGAAGCTTTTTTCTGGCCAAGCCCAAACATATTTGAGTAAGGCATCAGTATTGGGCCGAGTTCTCGATACTCCAGTCTCGCATCAGGGCTACGATCAGCAGTAGCGCAGCTGCTCCTCTCTTCCTCCCCTCCTCATCTGACCAGTGGCGCTGACCAAGCACCCCCACCTTCACACCCTTCTCCTTCCCAGCGGGTGGCTCCCTCCCGTCCACCCGTCAGCCTTCCTTCCCAGCCTCCCTCCACGCTGAGTGGTCACCGACCGTTGGGAGCCGGTCGGGCCTGACCGCAGCGGGCAGGCGGAGGCGGTACGCGCCCGTCAAACGGTGGAGCCTTGAGCCGCTAGGAGCGTGTCAGAAACCGACAGCTGCCGGCTCGAGCAGCTGCCAGCTGCTGTAACCGTCCATGGTAGACAGACACCTCAGCGGTCGGCGGAACCTGGACGGTGTGCGGTGGAGGGAGGGCGGATAGCGGGACTTGGAGCCACAAATAGCGGAGCAGGTTCTCAGAGGTGATCATAGGGTGGTGGTTATGGAGTAGCGTGGAAGTTAATTGAGGCTGAAGCGAAGAAACAGAGGTTAATTCCATGAGCCGCGTTATACCGCATAACTTGATGGTTAGGCATATTATCTTCAATAATAATCCACTTTTATCTGCCACGCTATATCTGCAAACATCTAGGTGGACACTGGACATCTTATTTTGTCAGCAAAATCGTTCCGTTTCAGTTTGGAAATGCAGCCCACGCTTCGCAACGATTAAGATGTGGCCGACTCCCTCCCTCTGCTCAGTTCGTCTCTCCGTTCCCCATCCCGACAGTCGCGCCACGTCACTCCACATCAGTCGACCGTCTCAGCGGGCCCGGCCCGGCGGGGTGTCCCGTCCTGTCCCGGCGCGGGCCCGTCCCATCAGACGCGCCGGCGCCGTCCCGGACCGATCCAATTAAAGCAGCGGGCGGCCAGCGAGCCATGAACGCCGCTCTCTCAGGAAGTAATTACGCACGAGGGCAGCATAACTCAGCTTTTTACACACTGTCGTAGTAAACATGACCTTGAATGCTCTGAATGGAAATCGTGCAGCTCATGGCACGAAGAAGGGGTGCTCCACTTCCGCGATGGGTTGTGATAGGCCCACTCACTTTCCTGGACTGCAATTATAAAACCGAGATAGCCATTTTCACCCAAACAACTCGACGTCCGGTCGTCGGTCTTTCTCGTACCCGGGCTCTATCCCTACCGGCATCGTCCTCCGGTTCTCAGAGAGGCCGCCGACCGGTCGGCTGATGCGGTGGGCCGGACGCGGGAGCCGCCAAATCCCTCAGCTGTCTGTGTGGCTACCTAACCGGCTCCCACTGCTCCCGATCGTCACCGCACGCTTCCTGGTTCACTATCGACCGGCAGAGACGGGCGCCGCCTTCTCATAATAGGATGGGGGGTGAGCGCTGACTGCGTCAAGGTCAGCCCGTCCTGCCCCTGCCCGGCCGGTCGGGACGCGAGCACGTGACTTACACACGGCCCGGCACACACAAAGGCCCCTACCCGACGGCCGCCCCGCTAGCTAAATTGCAGAGGGGCCAGAGCGCGCCGACGCTGGGGAAAGGTCGTCAGGACGAAGGGGTGGGGCTTTAAACTGGGGCGGTCGTTGAACCCGGCCGAGGGGTGGGGGATTTTTTGTCCCCAGTCGATACGGAAGCGCCGGGGGAGCGCGCCGGACCACGGCAGTATTCGCACCGCTAAGCTCGGACGTTTTTTTCTGTCCTCCGGGGCAGGGGAGCCGACTCAGCTCAGCCGTGGGAGGCGCGCCGAGCGACCGGAGAGCTGGCACTCGTCGACACTGACAGACAGCCGCGCTCGGCGCGGGAGCTCAATCCAATCCGAAGGGCACCTCGCATCAAATTATCCAGAAAATCCGTGATACTGGCACGCGTCAGTGCTGAACCTCTTTCACATCGCTCCAGAACAGCCCATTTCAAACATGCATGCTGTAAAAATCGACCGTTGGCTGGTGGTGTCATCGACACACTTTCCGTGGAATCCGCACGCGGTCGGGTTGCCGAGCGGACAGTCCGCTCGGACAAAGTGTCACACACCTGGGTGAATGAACCGTGAGCCTAAATCCCGCCCACCTACCGGGCGGGTTAAATCCATAACGGCGCGGCTTCGCGACAACTCATGTTTCTTACCGGGAAATATGCATATTGTCTTCCTCCATTGCCGGTACTAGTATTATATACAGTAACGTGAGCCTTAGCATTGCATTAGTGCATTATGCAGTTAATATGACAACCGGTAGTGGCAGTAGTAGCCACGGTGAGTTAAACACATGACTTCTTCTTTGTATAATCTGCCGTAAATAAACTAACTACTCTGGGAGCACTGGCTCAGTAGGCTGCTACCAACCGGTCACTGAGGCCGCGACCGGCTATATTTCGGGCGGGGCGGGGGCGGGGGTGGGGGCGGGGGTGGCACGTGCTGAGTCCGCCGTGCACAGTCCAGTTCAGTGACCCCGGCGGGCCGAACTTTCGCCCGCCGACGCGTCACCGGCCGCCGGCTGGGGACGTTGTGCAACATACAAAAAAACACCGACAGCTGAGCCCAGACCGGCACGCAAGCCGTGACAACAGAAAATATCGCCCAAATAAGCCATCGTTCAGACTTAGTTTCCCTAACCGCCAGGCTCGCAAGGCACGCTTCCGGTCAGCCCAGATATTCTCTGAGCGCAGTCGCGGGGAAATAAATGGCTTCACTCACCGCGGAGCGTTTATAAACTGACACGGGTGCCATGAGTAACGATGCGGTCACGTGGCTATTTGCATGTGAAATACGTGATGGAATTGGAGGTGACTGAACGAACCACAGCACGGCTACTCCACCGTCACTCATGGCCTCGTGCGCCGCGTTCCGGGACTGCCGGGGCGAGGGTTTCCAACTAATTCAGAGATAATGAGCGAGCGGCACGCTACCGGGCCGGTCAGATCAATCCGACTCATCCTGCACGTCAGCTGGAGACGTCACCCCGGTTATCACAGACGTGCACGTCAGAGGGTGACGTATGGACTGTCACAACGGCGGCGTCTGGTCTGTCAGACGGCGGCGTCTGGTCTGTCAGACGGCGGAGTCTGGTCTGTCAGACGGCGGAGTCTGGTCTGTCAGACGGACACCGCACTGTCAGAGACCACATGAGGAATTATTGTCAGGAGGAAGTGTCTGGTCAGCGGTCAGATACATCTGTGCGTGAAGTTGAAAGAGCAGCGGATGTCTGGCACGACAGATGGCCATTCAGACTTGATGGACGAGGCCGACCATTACAGCGGGACCAAACCAAACCAACACTCAGCTATCTCACCAAGAAGTGTTGAGTGAGCAAATGGTCGGCATAAATGCGCCTTCAGTTCGATCGCAGTATCGCAACGTGGATATAAAATATCGTCCTATGTTCGTAATTAATTCTCCCACTAACAGTTGTAGCGGAAGCCAGCCGTCCCACTGCAGTGCAACAGCACGACGGGATCGCGGTCTGCCGGCGGGGAACGTTCACCGGTAATCCGGGATGGATGTAAGCACCATGTCCGCATGGCTCGCCACCTGGCCTGCAGGGGCTGCGGGGCTGCAATGCCGGCCCCTGCAGCTCTGATTCAGCGGGCGTCCCCGTCCGACGTCCGGCGAGCAGCCTGTCCGTCTGTCTGTCTGTCTGTTAGGGACACACCCAGTGGCTGCTCCTGTCTAATATAGATGCGTGTTCGCTGTCTGACGCATATGAACCAGCTCCCTGACAGACAGGAACACATGCAGATTGATTCAGACATCGATCGTCTCCTGATTAAGACACGGGCCCGTTGTCTGACCACCGTACCGTTTCGGACCGACAGATGTCGACAAGAGACCTGCTGAGTGCTGGCATTAATGTAACCTTTGTAACATCATAAACAGCGATGTCTGGCTCGATGCAGACATCACGGCGCACATCTGTCGAATCCAGAGCCTTTGGAGAGACGGCTGGGCTGGGGACAGGGGTGGCAAGGCACGCCAGCGAGGCGCTGGTCGTTGCGGTGCTCCCAGCCCACCCCGCGCTGACAGGTCTGCAGCTGTTGACTGTCTGTCATATGTAGCGGTTGGAAACGTCTCAAGACTCAGCGGGCCGTCACATTTCCCGGAACGGTGCCACACTGTCACACTTCTGTCACATTTCCAGCTGACCGCTGTCCCATTTACCATGCCGTGATACTGGAAATCAGCGATTCTCCGGCCGGCAACCACCCCCAGCAACAACCCAACCACCGACTGACATCCATCATGCACTGATCCGATTGGATGTGACCACAGATCCCCGTGGAGAAAGCCTGGCCTCTAACCATCCCACCCCCTCTTTCTCCTTATGTCTTCCGTCCGTCCCGTTGGTCGGGCCGGTCTCCCGTCGGCTCGTCGGCCGCCGTCTCTACCGATGCAGGTCGCCGCCTCCGTCGTCGTCTCTCCTCGCTCGCCCATGGCCGGGTCAATGGCCGCCGCCGCCGCCGCCGGCACCGTCGGTCGGTCGCCACCCGGGGTCGTACCGCCAGCGTGCTCTGGCCGGCACCGTTCGACGCGCCGTACCAGTGCAGCCCTGACCCAGCTACCGGTCGAGTACCCCGGGCCGCCATCGCGCCACCGTCACTGCGTTACAGTCGACCTGTGGCGTGCTCACTTGCAACGTCTTGGCGGCAAAAATGGCGACAGTTTCGGGCGGCGCGCTCGGCAGACTCCGCATTGCAACACGGGCGGCCGGGCGAGCGGCGCCCGAGGGCGTTGACTCCGGGCGCACGCCGGCCCGCTCGTCTCGCCGCGGCCTCCGACGCCAGCGCGATTGTAAACTGAGCGTCTGCACTGCGGGGGCGGGGGCGGGGGCGGCACGTCTCATGGCTGGCACGGGCTGAGGTGAGAGGTCGCTCCAGACTGCCACTCGAGCAAACACCGGCCCACTGGGAGAGCCCCAGGGCGGCACTGGTTGCTGGGGCGGTGCCGACGGGCGGGGACCTGTCTGACCTCCTGTCTGACCTCCTGTGACCTGCCCTGTTGCTGGGGAGGTATTACTGGTCTCAGCCGAGTCGGGTCAGTCGTGCGCTCCCTTGTAGGGGGGGGGGGGCTAGTGGCGTCACCAGCGGGCTGGCCGGTGCGTCACCCTGCGCGGCGGGGCCATGATAGGTCACCTGATACCGCCGCCAGGTAAATTGGACGGACACGGCACGGCGTGGCCGCGTGGACCGGCGAGACTGGCACCCCGCGCGGATAGCATGATGAAACCCATCGGTGCGAAAACTACGCAGCACAATGCTGGATTATTTTGTGGTGCGATATCGTTCTGGATCGACAAGGATTAATTAATAAATCTATAATTACAAATAAACGGTCATAGGATGTTTTTTTTTCGCTGAGAAGTGAGATAGCAAAATCTTCATTTTTTCATCTATTGCAAGAACCATAGGTTTATTTCTCGTTTATTTTATTTAGCCTTGCGCCGATGTTTTTCGTCAGAGTTCAATAACCTCAGTCCCGATTCCGATTTCGCTCAGTTTTCGCAGCTAACAATCTGAGCCTAAGGCACGTGCTCTCTGCTAGGCTCGGCGCCGGCCGCGGCCCAAAATGCCGCAAAGATGCGTCTGCCCCGTGCATACCGCTGAAACCACCGCCCAAAAACTCAAGTTCAACTCAAGTTAATGCACTGTACGCATGCAATGTACGCGTCCGACTCTGAGAGAAATTTTCACCCGCGCAGCCCGCACCGTCACCGAGCAATAGCCCGCCAATGGGAACGGACGCGTTTCATACATACATCAGACGTTTTGATTTTTTATAGCTAGACTCATTTTTGTAAATTTTGTTATTTAAATTATGCTACAATTTTGTTACGATAAACCAGTTATTTACAAAGCAATTTGTTTCAAAAATCAAAATGCCGTAACATTATAGTAACCGTTATATATTCGTGCTCTGATCCCCATTGTCCCCATTGGAAAAGTGAATAAAATGTGGCCAGTGGCATAATCATTAACTAATCAGTAATCACCCAGCACACATGTCTTTTGCTTTGAACTTTGAACGCAACCAAGGCGAAACCACTCATAATTCTTCTCATTGAACCTTATGATAAATGCGCTAAAGCAGGTGCGTTCAGTCGCGATTACAAAAACAAACATAACCCTGAGCCATCGCGATCCCGCTATATCTCCAGGCAGCCTTAGACTACCCCCCCCCCCCCCCCCTGTCGTCAGAACTGACCTGGCCGCAGCAGTCAGTGCCCTGCACGCTCCCAGTCCCGTAAACTCACTTGAGCGTGTCCGCACGGCGGCGGCGGCGGCGCGGTGCGGCGCGTTGTGCGCTGACCCACTAACCGAGTGACGCGGGGTCGACGGCCGGCCAGCGCTCCCGACGACGGTACCGACGTGCCGCCACTGGCCGGCCGCGGCCCGCGCCGCCACCTGCCGCCGTCGGCGATACTAGCGCCGCCGGCGGCAGAACGACGAGACACCGGAACCGGCGGCGCCCGCCGACCGGATGGACGGTCTTCGGCGCGCCGGCCGGCCGGACATCGTCTCCGCCCGCCCCGTGTTGACGTCGGTGGACGCACGGGCGCACCGTTAGCGCGCGACCGGTAGCGAGCAGCCGTGACAGGCCCCGCAGCGAGCCGAGAGCCGCACAATGCGTACCGCTGCACGGTAGCGGCTAGGGTTGATAATCCCGGGACTTTTTGGCAATCCCGGGATCCCGGGATTTTAGAAATGCAATCCCGGGATATCCCGGGATCCCGGGATTGAGCAGTTTTTATTTTAACCTGTCTACAAAGCAGAATTTTCTTGCAATATCGTATGTATATGGCGCATCCTTACCATCATAAACACAATACCAGGCATACACCTTCACCCCGAACAAATATAAGAGCATGAATGACATTGATCATTGTATTTCTTGTTTATATTTCGAGTCAGGATACAATAGACGTGCCTACGGATTGTGGTCGTCTGACCAGCAGCATGTCCTGGTCACATTCACTTGTTACGGTAGTAGCACTTGAGGAAGCAAAGTGCATCAACGACTTCGTCGCCGAGACTCGACCGCACTTTTGTGACGATATTCCCGACAGTGGAAAACACTCGTTCCGATTCAACACTCGTAGGAACTATGCCCTTCAGCCAGTTGTAGGACAGCGCTACCATGCCTGTCCTTCCTGAGATAGGTAAATTTTCCAATTCTTTCCTTATGGCCTTCGTCATCATCAGAGAAGATTGCGAAAAGTTAATCCCAGACGGGCATGAACTGGTGCCTTGCTCTGGAGCTCTAACCTCATCTAGAGCTTGTTGAAGCATCGACTGAAGAGACGGCGCTGATTCAGGATCATCAGCGTCCATCACTTCTGTATCTACAGTAGGCACGTAATTAATAATTATTCACTAACGGTAACCATGCCCAGGGCGCCCGGCCAGCCTCATGGATCGTCCAGCCACGGGGCACTGACAGTAACTGAGCCACCAGACGTGCTCCCACAGTCACACAGAGAAGACGGCCGACCTCCTCCCACTCGATGGACTCGAATTCGATAGTCGGCATAGTATGTCATCGTGCAAAATGATCTGTTAAACCGAGTACGCGAGGGACGTCGCGGGGAGCGAGAGATGAGCCGAGAGAGAGAGCTCGTCTCTCGCCACATTGTGAAGGCTGAGACGGTGTGAAACAATGTCAATTAGGTATATATGTAACCAATACTTGTGCATAACGACTTTGCACGGCGTAAGTAAGATCTTTGGACATAAAACTGCACTGTAATGCGTTGTTACTCACTTACCTTTTTTTACATACCTTCTATCAGCTACACTTTATGAACGATGTTTCTGTACGGAAAATATCGGGATCCCGAAATCCCGATGCTTCTAATCCCGGGATTCGGGATTAATACAATCCCGGGATCCCGGGATCCCGATCCCGGGATTATCAGCCCTAGTAGCGGCGAGCGGCGAACTGGCGAACTAGGGATGTCCCAGAGCTTCAGCGGCTCCTGAGAAGTCTCCGCTGTGTTTCAACAGCCCCTCGGTGCGCGAGCTCCCAGCGGTATTCGATGAAGTTCCGGTGGTTCCTTGCAGAGGTCTCGGGGGTTGGCTCACAGCTCGCGGGTATCCCTCAGCTGTCCCACGAGGGTCCCCTGCACCCCGCCGGCCGGGGGCGGCTGTCCCGCGGGTGACACGTCGGACCGGCTGCCGGCAGCTCGGGCACCCATCTGGGTCAACGCCGGGAGCCCGGCCAAACGGTCCCACGCGCCAAAAACCCGCGCCGCTGGGGTCATTGCTCGCTGCGCCGCGGAGTTTCAGTCGCCGACCGGCGCGGCGCGGGGCGGGGTGGGGTGCTCATGATCGGGAGCTATTCCTGGAGCTCTGACGGTGAGCTGGGCAGCTCGCGCGGGGCAACAGTACCGAGCTGCTGAGAGCCGACAGCTGCCCCGCTCCCGGATCTGCCGTGAATAATGAAATCCAGAGCCGCATCAGGTGTTCAGAGACATTCCTAGGAAAATATCCAATATAGATCAATGATCCTACACCGACAGTGCGGCAGAAGATCAGAGAGGGTACCGTCACTATGCGACCGGCAGTTCAACAACCTCCATTCGCTCTAACTTCATCAAGCTGATGTGTCTCAAACGGCTTGGATTCCCGTGTCAGTCGGCGGGTGAAACGTAATGGCGTGAACGGAGCTCAGTTGGAAATAAAATGATTACGGGCAACACCCTAGAGATGGCTGACGTAAAGCTTAACATTTGATTTCAAAAATCGACGCTTATTGATGAAATGAAATTCTGGACGCATAGTCAAACACTTGCACCATCATTGACTGGATAGGAAGGGATTATCCGCGGGCGATGACCAACTCCATACCAGTCGGGGTGAGATGACCCGCGCCGGTTCCGATCAGCTGACCCCGTGCCGGTCGCGGGTCAGATGACCATCCTGCGTGCCGACCGCTCGGGGTCGATGGCCAGTCTCATAAACAACATGCGCCGACCGACCGTTGACAGGTTACTGACCTATGTTACGGCACCCGTGCTGGTCAGCTGATCGCGCCAGATCTGCTAATGCTTCGAATGTGCCAGCTGCACTGTTCTACTTAATCGATGGCGTGCCAATCGCTTACATCAGCAGCGCTCGTCCGAAGGGTCGTTGACCTGTCCTGCGCGCTGCGCATTGGTACGAAGTTGGCTGCACAGTGAACACGCAATGGACATGTCTGTTTGCAATGCTCTGCAGCGCGCACTGCGCGGGTCATGTACTTCATGATGTCGTCATCATTGAGTTCAAGAGAGGAGGGTTCATTCTCCGTGAATTTAGACTTGCACAGCCATAGCTTCGTGAAGTCGATTTCTGACGGCCCATTTGCTGACCAATGCATCGTCTGGGCCACTTTCATGTCACCAAGCACAGTTCGTACTCCGTACCGCCCACTCCGCCCCCGGTACCGCCCTGCGCACCGCCCTGCGCACCGCCCCTTTTCCGTAGCACCTCTCAATCCGTCCCCATTACACCGGTCACCGCCCCGTCACTCAACGGATCAGCCGACGGTTCTGTTCACCGTAACCGGGCCGGTCACCGGGTACTGACCTCAGAGCCACCGACTGGTGACCGTGGGGTCACCGACTGGTGACCGTGGGGTCACTGACTGGTGACCGCGGGGTCACCAGGTCAGCTGGTGAGCGGTCAGTCTGACTACCGAACAGATTCAGATGACAGGACACTGTCAGGTTTTGAGAGATGCGTATGATGTGACAAATGACAGGATGCGCGGTAGGACACTCGAAAATGACAACTACTTTGACCTTTTTACCTGCAGACATGAGTGAAACCAAATTTAGTACAAATAAGGTCAAATATAAATTATGTACTCAGTAATTCCGACAGTTTATTTATTAGATGCCCAGAGAATGCCTACGCTCTTCAAAATACCAATCGAATCCACTCGTTATCCAACAGACGTCAGACACGAATCGCACGCTCTATCTTCTCGCTCCCCGTGCAGTTATGAACGACCAGTTGAGTTGGCATTTCCGCCAATGTTAGGTCACTTTGGAAGCGCGAACCAAAACTAGCTCACATTTTCACCTCACTGTCTTCCGTTATATGTCAAAGGTGATTGGTCACCTGTCATAAGTGACATACAAAGTCAACGCAATTTAATGGGAATTTACCTATCAAAATTGCGATCTCCTGTGCCTTGTTCACAAATGCGAGACAACCAGCTCAGTTTATCGAATAAGGTCCAGTAGAAGCTGTGGTCCGAGTTCCGTTTAGCCAGAACACCATGCTGATTGAATAACGCCCTGCAAACGTTTAATGCAGACACAGACAATGCACCGTTGTGATATTATCAGCGGAGTTGTGCGAACACTGCACAGGCGTGTGTGGTGAACGGTGACCCGAGATGAACTTTTGAACTTCCAGGTTCGCCGAGGCAATGGATAGAACGTTATAGACACGCAGTTTTACTGAGTGATGTATTGTAAGGAGCCTTGCAAATATATTTCATTTGATCAGTTGGGAAGCATTCAACTGGAACACGTCTTTTTAGGAAAATGGGTGCAGCATGCGGCATTTGGCTTCGTGCATTGCCCCGTCACCGACTCCAAACGGGGCCTGTTTTTCGTGTCTGAAGAAGCCAAACAATGGCACAGTCCGTGCTCAATTCTTTCACATTCCTGCCGTCTGGCGATGGCGGCGGCTCCGTAACAGGAGCCATGAGTGATCCGTGTCGCGAATTCCAGAGCGTGCCCGCTGATCGCTGAGCCCGGCTGACTGTTTCAGCAAGTGACAATCAGCGGTCGGGCGGCCGAGCGCTAGTTCCGACCGACGCCGCCAGGCGGCTCGCCGGTCGACGGCCGCACTATAGGCCGACAGCCTGAAAAAGCGCTAGAAATTCCCCCAAACTGACTGTCCGCAATATGAACAAAATAGGTATCATTTAATCCCAAATTGATCGAAGAATACGATTACGATGCTAGTTTTGCCCTAAGGTCAAAATTGAGGTCGTCAGTTGTCACCAAACACAAGACAATTTAGGCTCTCTATAGGCCACCACATTTACCGATTTTAATGATGAACTTTAGTGGTAATTTATTAGTTGACCAATCGTCGTTTTGAACGAAATTTCCTGTCAGACTAGTTCAGGGCACTGTTGTTCACTGTGCCAACATCATTCTGACATATTGCATCGCTTTTCTGCAAGATAAGCTAGCTGTTTGCAGGCAGCTGCAAGACGTAATTTAAAATCATATCCAATTTTTTAATTAGACTTTTATAAAAACGTTATTTCGAGCGGCTAAAAATGAACATTTCATACTAGCCTCTGATTACTCATCTTTTGTTCCATATAGGTGCTTTGCTGCTTTTCCCTGCTACTTTTCGAGATATGCGCCAGTAAACCACATGATGCAGGGGCAATTGTCACCTCGCCGCT